AAATTCCCGCCACAAAGGCCTCCTTTCTCGGAGTGAGGCGCCATCACACAAGCAGGAACCTGGACACTGGAGGGTTTCGCTTGGTCTTTAGCCCGGGGCGGGGGGGGGGTTCTCCTCTCCTTGCGCCCCCTCCCATTCTCCCTCCCCCTGGTGGCTTTCTACCGCTGCACCATAGAGAGTATCTTAACTTACTCCATCTCTCTATGGTTTGCCAATTGCATAGGGGCAGATAGGACGGCACTCCAGAGGGTTAACGTCATTGCCCAGAGGATCCTGGGTTGCCCTCTCTCCTCTTTGGAAGAGCTTTAGAGCTCCCGCTGCCTTAAGGAAGTTCAAAACATCCTCACAGATTGTTGTGGTTCGCCGGCAGCAGGTGCGGATGGCTGAGGTGTCGGAAAGCGAGGACTTGAGATGAGGGGCCGGCGTGTGATGCAGGGATGGGGCCAGGACCATCAGGGAGTAGAGATTGTGGAGGCTGGCAGCAGTGAGGAAGAGTCCCCCGAGGAGCCTGTGCCCAGGGTGCTCGAAGGAAAGTGCAGCTGCAGCAGCACGGGTGATTTGGGAGTAAGGCTGCAAGGTGATGGCCCCTCCCTTAAGAGATAAAAGCCAGCTGAGAAACCGGAGTTCTGTGCAGGAAGCAAAGGCATTTTTGCACTCAAGCCTTGTGGACGTTCGGAATATCTTGGTTGGTGTTTGGAGACTCTTTGCGTTTGAACGATTTCTTGGCACCTTTATCTAGTGTTCTTGGCAGCCTTGCACCACCTCGGCAAGGCTCGTTCTTATCAGAGACAATTAGCTTGAAGCGGCCTTTTAACCAGGAAAGAACGGAATTCATAAAGAATCATTAAAAGGTTTTGCTGTTACCTCCATTTCATGTTTGTTTCCTTGGAACAAGGTTTGGGTCAGAACACAGATCCATCTCATCCTGGGAGCCTTTTTAAGACTTGCGGACTTCAACTCCCAGAATTCCCTAAGCCAAAAGCTTTTCTTTAAATGGAGTTTTATTTTACAGCAAGGACAATAATGTTTCAGAGTGACAGATTGGTGAAGTTTGATAGGCGGGAGAGGATTTGAGATGCTGTAAATCAGGGGCCTCCAAATTTAGCACCTTTAAGGCTTGTGGACTTCAACCTCCCAGAATTCCCCGGCCAGCTTTGCTTGCAGTTTTCTTGAAATGGCGTTTTGTTTTCGAGCGAGGACAGTGATTTTTTTTTTAAAAAAGTTATACCTTTGGTAAAGTTTGAATAGCAGGGCAGGACTTGGGATGATGTAGCAGGTGTCTCCAAGCTTAGCAACTTTAAGCTGGGTGGACTTTAATTCCTATTCCTATTACCACCTGGCAGACCGTAGAGGACAATAAAAACAGGGACAAATAGGCCGAAAAACAACTCGGTTGAACTCTACTGCATGGTGCCATGTTGGCCAACCTATGGCAGGTGTGCCAGAAGGGGCCCGCAGAGCCACTCCTTCTGGCATGCAGGAGGTCGCCCGGAAGAGCCCCACTGCACCTGTTTGTGCGCCGTTGCCCGACAGCTGATTGTCGGGTATCTAGCACACATGCACTGAGAGGTGCGGCACGCGCAGGGGATCACGTGTGCATGCGCAGAGGGCATGGCAGGTGGGCCCAGCACGCATTTCCTTCTGGGTGCGGGCGCACAAGCCGAAAAAGGTTAGCCACCCACTGGTACAGTGCACTATTAATGCTTTCAAATCAATTGGATAGATCAGGGGTCGCCCACCGTTTGGATCTCAGGGACCTCCAAACTCATCCTTTTAAATCCCGCGGACCAGAGACCCCCTGGGAAAATCCTCCCCCCCCCCAAATGGTAGAAAATGCGAAGGAGGTGTGGTTGCGTTTTCTCTTTATAGCCACAATGTACCCCGAAGGTGGCGTTCGATTTCGTCGCATGAGGTGCAAATGGCAATAAAGTAAGCTGAATGAAACGAAGCTGGATTCCACAGGTACCTTTGATGCATGCGCGCACCTACCCACCCACCCACACACACACACACACACACACACCCCTTCACGGTGACAGCGACAACCGGCGCTCTATTTGCCCAAGGAACAGATGGGGCCGTGCCGTCAGCAGTCGGCCGCGTGACAGTCTCGGTGAAGGCAGCGCCGCTTGAGGCGCTATCAAATTCCACTCACTCTCCCAGGAACACGGCCGGGCTGGCAGGTGAGCGACGGAGGGATGCTCGCCCCACCTGGAGCTCTCCTGGCACACGTCTCGGCTGACGGCGCGGGAAGTCCCACCGTGCCAGTTGGAGCCACGTCGGCAAGCAAAGGCTTAGTGGATAGCAAAAGCCTCTCTTTGGGGAGGGGGGGGGCTGGAGGACCCCAGGTTTTAGACACGGCCCAGTTCAAAGGAGACCCCTGGCCCCTCCTGGATCGTCTCCCCCAAACCTCTTGAAGGTTAGTCAGGATTCAGAGGGCAGGAAAGCAGGTGGAAGGGCAAGGCTTCCAAAGGGAAGGCAGGGAAGACGCAGAGGAGGGGGTCTTTGGAGCTCAGGGCTGAACGGTGGGGTCATGGGGGGGTCTCTAGGTAACCCCATCAGTGGTCTTTCCTTCCTTCCCTTCCTTCTTTGCTTCCCTTCCCTTCCCCCCTCCCTTTTTTCCTTTCCTTTTTCTTCCTTCCTTCCTTCCTTCCCTCCCTCCCTCCCTCCCTCCCTTCTTCCTTCCTTCCTTCCTTCCTTCCTTCCTTCCTTCCTTCCTTCCTTCCTTCTTTCCTTTCCTCCCTTTCCTCTCTCCCTCCTTCCCTCCTCACCTTCCTTGTCCTTGGTGCTCTCCCAATTTGATTTTCTTGCAGACCTTTCCCCACCTAATTAGGTAACCTCCTCAGTGATGTCTTCCTCCCTCCCTTCTTTTTGCCTTGGAGTTTGCGGAGGGCTGAGTTGGCCCTTAGAGGAACCCTGAGTTGACCCGACCAACTTAAGTCCTGGTCAAGGCGATTGAAGAGCTCAGGCCCCAAGTATCCAAGGGATGGAGAAGCCCAACTCATGGAGAAAGCGCTCTCCCTCCCTCCCTCCCTCCCTCCCTCTTCTCTCCTCTCTCTCCTCTCTTTTCTCTCCTCTTTCCTCTCTCTCCTCTCCTCTCTCTCTCTTCTCTCTCTCCTCTCTCCTCTCTCTTCTCTCTTCTCTCCTCTCTCTTCTCTCCTCTCCTCTCTCCT